AGAAGCAGTGTAAGATTCTCCGTGGTGTTTGGAATAACCAAGCATGCGAAGGATTTTATGCTCCGGATATCTTTCTTTTTTGCATTCTTCTGGCGATTCTGTGCTTTGCTCTCTCCTACGGCCTAAGGAGTCTCCGCAACTCTGGATTTTTCCCATCTCGTGTAAGTAATTCACGTTTATTGTCTTGCCTTGAAATGGCATATTTGAGATTCATTTTGCATTTACAGGTTCGTTCTCTGATTTCCGATTTCGCGGTTCTGATCGCTATTGTCATCTGTAGTTTGATCGATTACTTCACTGGTCTTCACACGCCTAAACTTCTTGTTCCTGTCTCATTTGAGCCCACTTTAGGTTATAATGTACGTTGCCTTCACAATGACTTAAATACCTAGTTCAGAAGGCATTGTTTAAAAACTCATTTACTGGCTTTGTAGAAACGTGGATGGATTATTCCGCCGTTCAATGGAAATCCTTGGTGGACATCTTTGGCGGCTATTGGACCTGCTTTGTTGGCGGTTATTCTTATCTTCATGGACCAACAGATTACCTCAGTTATCGTTAATCGTCGGGAGAATAAACTTAAGGTGACGCTTTTCTTCTTCCTCCATATAATTTACCAATATTTTAGAGGAGAAATTGAACTGAATTTGTCATTGTCTGTTTTAGAAAGGAGGTGGCTACCATTTGGATCTCCTGGTTGTTACAATAACAATCGCTGTTAATTCGGTGCTTGGAATTCCATGGTTCGTAGCTGCCACGGTGTTGTCAATCAATCATGTCATTTCTTTGAAAAAGGAATCGGAATCGTCAGCTCCCGGAGAATGTCCTATTTTCTTGGGTTGTCGTGAGCAGAGAGTTACTGGTTTCTTCATTTTCCTTTCTATTGGTCTCTCTGTTTTCATGTCCTCAGTTCTCCGGGTAAGTTTTGAAGCGGTAGCTTGTGAACGAGGATCATTTTTTTCTTAAACGATAGAATTCTCGCTAGTTCATTCAGAAAATGTCGAAGCAGGCTAATTTTACTACCGTTACCGGAAAGGGGAAATTTTCCTTGAATGAACTCAGAGTAACATCGCCAGACATCTATATTAGATCGTCATGGTGTCACCAATAGAGCTTCAATTCTTCTTTTTTATAGACCAGTATAAGTGGAAAATTAGATTGGCGAAAACTTCGCTCACTTTTAGCGTCAAGTGTTGTCTCGTCTTCTGCAAAGGAAGAGAAGAAATCGGTGGAGAAATTGGTAAACGCGATGTCTAGTTTGTTCATTGGGTATGTGATCTGTCGTGTCCGCTAACTGTGCCAGACGGATAATTGATAGACATTGAGATATGGGTTTAAGATGACGCATTTGAGTTAGCGCAACTAAGCTTAGTATCATCAATTTGATTATGCACAGACAAAAATATACAAAAATTTACAAAATTAAGAACAGAAAGATATTTATTTCGAATGGCAGGCATTTTGATAGTTATCATTAGCCCTTTGGTTGACTTCGAGCTTCACAGAAGGAGGAACATTAAAGTGAGAAAAATTCGACAGGGGAAAAGAAGAGCGATTCACAGATATAAAAGACAGACAGACACAAAGGCAGAGAAAAGGCTAGACGAGTATTGTGGAAGGGGTCGAATATGACGCAGTGTGGTCATGGTAGTTTGAAGTCAGAGGTCAACTGCCAGTTAATTGGCTTTTTTGCCGTATGAGTATACGTTGCCCAGGGTGCACCACGTGGAGGTAAGTCTATCGCACACCCCAAGAACAGAAAGATAAATTTATTTTAATAGTAATACAGCCTTCATTCTTTCCCTGGTTGGTTTAGCTTAATTCCAATTTTTTTCCAGCGTATTCCGATGGCAGTTCTTTACGGCGTTTTCTTGCTAATGGGTATCACTTCTTTAAATGGCCTCCAGATTATGGAACGTGTAGGTCTCTTCTTTACTCCTGCAAAATATCAGCCGGACTACCCTTATCTTAGGTAAGTTTTTTCTCACTCACGTACTCATTGCCTATATTTGTAGACATGTTCGCCTTGGACGTATTCATCTTTTCACTGCCATTCAAGTTTTGTGCCTTATTCTTCTCTACGTCATCAAATCAGTTCCCCAGATATCTATTCTCTTTCCTCTAATGGTCTGTTATCTCTCAAGAGTCAAAGTTTCCTTCATTAAATACTTGCTCTGATCTGAATAACGCATTACTTTGTCCAGGTTCTTGCTATGTGCTTCGTGCGTCGTGGGCTGGATTTCGTCTTCTCACAAGAGGAGCTCTATTGGTTGGATGATATTCTCCCTGAAAGCTCGTGTTCGCGAAGAGGAGAAACTGATACGTCTGGAAATCAAGCTAAACGCTTCGCTTCTGCGACGGACTTCAGCAGCAAGGTGAGTCAGTCGGGTTCTTTAAAGTTTAGTGAAAACAAGAAATGTTTGCTAAGCTGCCGTTTTACTATCTTCAGTACATCAAGAAAATTTATCGGCAGCGATGTTTAGTAAATATTTATGTTATGGAAAAATAAAGTAAATAACTTTAGGAAAAGAACATTTTCTAGTAATCGATAGGAAGCGTTATTTGGATAGGTGAAGTGGATCAGGTCAAAAATGCTAGATTAGATGGCTTGGTAAATCGATTGGCAAAGTACTGAAAAACCCATTGTAACCCATGTTTGCGGTTATCAATTTGTTCTTTTATCTTCCCAAAATACACAGGGACTAAGCCATTCACTTTTCTTCCATGCCAATCATACTTGAGAAGGCTAAATAAACGGCTCTTCCAAGTGACGGCGTCGATTGCATGAACTTATGATGTTTTTAGAGTCTAATTATAAAATAGGACGACGGGGTGTATTAATCTCCAGCAACAAGCAGCGATTGGGCGTTGCTTCTTTCCACTTTTCCGCTCAGCTTTCTAGGCCGAGTGAAAGTAAAGTTGATTGCATTCAACTGCTCGTGAGTTAGCGATTCAAGGGCTTGTAGATGAAAATTGAGTTCGAAGAGGATTCATCGCTGATCCATAGTAACCAGTTTTTGATTGATTATTGATGATATGATAACTGATGTTTTCGAAATTCCAGACAACTTCGTTCAAACTTATTTTTTGCATATCTTTTTCTATTTAGGACTCGCTGCCTCTCTCCCAACCTCTTATTCTCAACTTAGATGAAAAGGTATGTGTATTGACTCTTACTACTTATTCTCTACACTTCGTATAAACTGAAAGCTATCTGTTTCTTTGTCTTCAATTTTTCTTTCAAAATATTATATAGACGAGTAATGTCTTAATTAGTGTCTCCTTGCCCCATTATCTCTTTCAGCCATTCAGTGTAAGTGAAGAGGTCTCAAAGACATTGATTTGGAGACAACTTTCCGGTATCGGCTTGGTCAATCAAGATGTTGATAGCAAAAAAAAGTGGGTCACTATTTTTAATACCATATATATATTTATATATATATGGTCAAATACTATTTATATAGCACTTATTAAATTGTGATGAAAACCGGAAAGTGCAACGAATCACTAATTTATAGGCGCCGAGATCGCAAAAAGAAAGCCAAGCGTCAGCGCAGTAATGGTAGGGAGAGCGGAGGTAGCGGAACAGAAACCAGCGATTCCCGTCGTGGCAGTCTGAGTGGGCATCGATTCAGAGCTCTTCGTCTCTTTTCATCTGACTTTGATGGAGCGATTGGAAGGGATATTGCTGTTCTCTTCCACTCCAACGAGACTGACCAAGCAATGGCAGGTGGCGCAACGTCTTCAACAGCTCCTCCGCCCCCTACTCAACTTGCTCAGCTATCCACTCCGGAAATAAAAATCAACCCTCCTTCTCACCAGGGCTCACCCGATTCCTCTAGGAAAAATTCGGGCATAGCCAACTAGCCAAGGCGGATGACTATTTTTCTCATCTTAAACACAAATGCTTATTGCTATCTGCTCAAATTAATTCACCCTCCCCGTCTCTTCTCTTCTCAGTGTTCGATTGTTTGTCTGATTGATCCTAATCTCAAGGCTTCATTTCTGCCTGATAATGACCAACAATTCATAATCTCTCCATTCTCTCTGGTTATAAGCCATTAAATAATAAGTAGTATAAGTTCCCAATTTCCTTGAAATTTATACAAGAGTGGTAAGTGTGGTTGCATTAGAGAATTGGAATTCCACATTTACCTGCTTTCATTCCATTTTATCCCCCCTGCCATTGTTTCCTAGTTGCATTCGTTTTCCTCGTTAACCTGTTACTTATGAAAGAAAAGAGAAACTTGTGAAAACTTGCCTCTATTAGCCTCCCTATTAATTCTGATGTCTCTATATTTCCCACCTGCTCCGATCTAAGGCCATTTACCTACGTGTATTGATGAATTATAGCGGAAATAGAAACTCTATTTATGTGGCTTTGCTTTCTTTTACTAAATACTGGCACCAGATTTGGAATTGGATTATCTCAAAAAAGAGAATGAATCCGTCGGTAAATGCCGCGTCTCGTTGCCCTCATTTATTCCCACTATGTCGTTCATGGCAATTTGGCGCTGGATAAAAATTGCATGTCGGTCGTAGTTAATAAGTAGTCAGTTGCTTATACTTTTTTATGGATATTTCTGATCAAAATCGATATACTAGAGACGGGAAGCGAATATATACTGAATAGCTACAATCTAATGGCTTGTTATATGAACCAAGTTGGGGGGGGGGTTGTTTTGCTTGTATATCATTCACGGAATTACTAGAATATCTGTGTAACAATTGGCAAATGGTGCATTTCTGAACAACTATTTCCAGAGAAATGACTGACTTGGGAAAGAAAAAAGTAGGGAATAATAAATTGTCTTGATAGGTGATCAAGGGCCCCATGGAGAACATATAATTTATGGTTAAAGGAGTAGTTACTTTAGCAGACCACATAGGGCTTGTTCAGATTAAGTTTGAGTATAAGAGCTAAGACAAAATAGGACAAAAGTGAGCAATATCTGACATGGAATGATAACGTGCAATTTATAAGAAATATGTATTCACAAAACACTAAATTGTATTAAATATTAAGAGTAAGTTTCCATTTGGGTTGAATACAAGAACATAAATTAAAAGATTTTATGTGAAAAAGTTTAATTTGTTTGTTTTATTTTCTTTAATACATGTATTTTAACCTTGTGATCTGCGTTTTAAATCACAGCAAATGCTCGAAGAAAGACCTTCAACAAAAGTGGCTTTTCGAATTGGAATAATGGGCATATTCGTGTCTCTATTATTCGTCATATTTCTTTTTAAGGAGAATGGAGCAATTATATTTGAAAACAGGCTTTATCACTATGAAGTAATATTTTAAATTATTATGCGTTATTTATGTATTATTAGAACTTGGATTTTGTATCCAGATTTTGCTACACTGAATACGGAAGCCTTTTTAAATTTGAGATCATATATCCTGAAGTAATATAAAATTCAATAAGTCATGCTATGTATAGATTTTAGGAATATTGTCACTTAATGCATATTGGAATGCTCCAGAAATATGGAATGTTGCTTATACTTCGAAAATGGTCAGCAAATGTTTGTACTTTTATGACATTTAGACATGTGAAGAAAAGCTAACTATACTGCAAAATTTTTCACCAAATCAAAAGTTCCAACTTTCTGCTGAGGATAGTGCTTGGTGTGAATATGTAGATCTTCGCAATTATGCACATCCCTTCGAATTACCTGATTTTCAGGAGGCCGAAGGCGGTATGGTTGAGCCAATAGTTGAAATTGCATCACGGTATCAGAACCATTCTCGTTATGACTACCCACGTCTACTGTACACGTTTCCTCTTGAAAGCCATCATTCGAGTATCCTTCAGTCTGCTTTTTACTTTTATCGTTATAATCCTGATATTTCTCCGAATTGGATCTATTGTAAATCTCCAAAAATTACTTTCACGCCTGGAAAAATCTCCTGGTTCTTCTTTGCTCTTGATAGTTGTAAAGTAGGCTAATACCAGTTATGCAATTCTTTATTGAGTATAGGAAGTATTAAAGGGGAAAAGTAACGAAAACCCCATCCCTGTATTTTATCGGCTCGAAATGCAAAATGGAAAAGGTGATGGAAATCTTTTCAGAAGACATTTTTCGCTCGATGATTTCGGTATATTTTTTAAAATATATTTAATTTATCTTAATGATTATTTTTTGTAATTTGTTTTATCAACTTTATAGGTAGTTTAGAGACGGTCTTAATTTTCTGGGTCGCATCAATCGCTTCTCTATTCATCGGCGGATGGATTGCTAGTAAGCTTGAAAGCCTTTTTTTGGATATATAACCGACTTTATAACTAGTATAATTATGAAAATTTGCCTTTGGAAAAAATAGTCTGTTTGCAATGTATTTAGCTAGACTCCCTATTTTGTGTTTTACAGTTATGAATAAGGACAAGAAGCATTTGAGGTACCCTCTTTTACTCTTCCTGTGTGTTCTTCTATTCTCCTTCATAAAACATCTTTTCGCTCTCATGTGCCTCGGCCACCTCTCCAACGTCGGTCGACGTCCGCTTTGGCTTGAGATCATTAGTAAGCACTGAGATTTTAATCTTTCTTAAAGAAATATTGACCATAACTGGATTAACTCAATTAGAGCACATTATTATAAAATAAATGATTGAATTAAGGTTTTAATTACTAATCAGTTATTGAATTCCTCTAGATATTCACTGCTCTTAAGTTTCTGAAATTTTTTTCAAGAAATAGTAACATTCGTAATTATTTCTAATTATTATTTGTTACCTCTCACATTTTAGACGACTTAATGGGAGGTGCTACAAATTGTGCACTTGTTGCTTTGCTTTTGCTTCTTGCCTCTGGATATTGTGTCGTTCACAAAGATCCCGGGAATCGTATGAAGATCGTTGTCCTAGCAACGGTTGCTGTTTATGGACCTGTTCAACTGATTTGTGGAGTTACTGTCACTTTGGTAATTCGTATGTAATGAAAATTTTAAAGTATAGCATCATTGTAACGTTCATTCTAGTCTGAAATTGTTCTAATATTCCTCTTTCACCTGAAAAAAGCAAGAAAAGACCTTGATGTCAAAGAATTATCGGTGGTTAAGACATTTTGAGCATAATTTTGTGCGAATAACGAGTTCTTGGAGAACGATAATTGATTCCTTGCTTATTTTATTGAACGTTTTCACTTTATTCCGAAACTCATACTTCTTGATTCTGTTATTTATGAGTTCATGTGTCTTCCTACCTTTGTTGATATGCTCACACACCAATCATTCAAATCCTCAACACTCAGTTACTTTCCAATTAGGACCTGGACCGCCACCCTCTTGAAAGATTTTTGAGCACCTTTTAATGTACTGCTTTAGAAAAGCAATTAACTATCGTAACTATTTTTACAGAGCTCTTTCGACTCGGCACTGGTTTTAACGTCAATTGAACCTTCCATCATTTTAAAATCCTTTATTCATATCCCTTTTTTAACTTTTCAGTAAATTAGCGGACTTTAATATGTAAATTGTTGAGACCTTTAACATGCCAGATAAACGGACCCAATTGGTTTTGGTTCCCCATTTTATTTGACCAACCAAAGGAAATGTTTGTGTGTATGCGTTTTCTTCTCATTTTGCTCTTTTCGAGCACTACCATTTTACTTCTTGAGTTTACAATTTTGCTACGATAGCCAAACTATTACTTCCTTTCCCATTTTTGTGATACCCTTTTGGCATGATCCTAATTCCACACCACCTTGACAACTTGTAGGTCACTGACAGAATAGACCAATTTGGTACTCTTTACTCACTCTCTCTCTCTCTCCCCCCTGAGATGCTATCACTAAACAACCAGCACTAGACGCAAAACGCTTGGGGATGACATAATTATGCGTTTCCCGGGGTGAAAACCCCAGCAAAAGTGTAATCACAACGACGACGAATTTGAATATTTATCGGGCAAATCACGCGGGCATTGTTATATTTGTACATATCAAAGCAATATATGAAAGTATTGAAGTGCTTAATCAATCTAGGTATTAAAAAAATTTGTAGTTCTATTTCAGATTCCCTTTTTGCTCTGAAGATAATTCTGTTATGAAATATCCATCTTTCATCAAATCAACACACCACTCCGATCGCAGCTCATCTGATGGTTTCCTATTATAAAATATAATTGTTTGAAAGCGCAAACAACAATACCTCACCACAAAATGAGTGCAGCTAATGGGTTTCACTCCAAAGTAGGGGGAATATTGAATTCAATTTTTAAAGCTCTCAAATAATAAGTAACTGATTCGCTTTTAAGATTGCCAAAAATATCTTCCATGTCTTCTTGCCAACGTTGTTTGCGAATTCAATTGAGTCCTTGCAAAAAACTTAATTGAGAAAGCCCAAACTCGAAACCCGTGCCATTCAAGAGTATAAAGTTTCCAAGTCCGAAGTGCTTATGTTATACTCAATGATTGACAGAGGAATTTCGTTCACTCCTCAAAATGCATAAGACGGAGTGAATTTTATCGGACTGAAATTGAAAATATAATCTGTTTACTAGTAGATATAGCAAGGTCTGGCCCCACCTCCAATTTTAATAAAATTAAATTAAGCTTAAGCTTGTTCTAGTGCTGCTGACTTTCAAAGGTACCAAGCGACTTCTTCGGGTTTATAAAGTATCCCTCCTATTGGCTTTGTGCAAACTCATTTGAACCAGTTTTGTGATTACTAGAGTGTGCAATATCCAACCTCATTGCAAACTGCTATCGAAATAAGCTGTCCTAAGAGCTTTTAGGTTCCTTCTATCGTCATATGCCATTGGTATTTAATACCATACAGTTAAGCAGACTTTAAGTCATTCTCTTTGTTAATTAAAAGTCTTTATTGCAATACTTTAGGCATTTGATTCAGGTCAAGCCAAATATGTCTACCAATCACCAAGCGGATACACATTAGTGACATTGAATATTGCCACCTGGTTGGTCTTCCTGCTTATTGCCATGTATACAAATACCCACTGGCCAACAAAACGACTCTTCTATCTCACAATCATCTGCTTCTATTCTGTTTGGTTCTGGACTCTGCCAATAGTTCTTATTATTAACGGTGATTATATCGCCCTATGGCGTCGCTTGGGTCTTCATAGGTCAATTACAAGTATCGCAGATCTCGCTGCTCAGGTCTTTTTACTTGTAAGCAATACTTCTACTTGGATCTAAGTTCTCGTTTTTATCTAAAAATGTCAATTCTATACTTTAGTATATATTCTGGCCATCGAGTATTGCGAAAATCTTCATTCGATCTGATGAAGACCAATATAGTGAAGAAGCGAGTTTGACACCTGTTCCGCGAACGTCTATAACTCCAGTTACCGTGCCTAAACTCTCTATAGATAGCAGGTCTCCTCGCAAGAAGAGCTCGAAAACGGAAGGTCCCACCACTAGTACATCAAATTCTGCTGCTCCAAAATCAACTTTCGAAACACCAAGGACACCAGAAGGGGATGAGCAACCTACAAAAGATATGAAATCTAAGTTTTTGAAGAAGTTGATTCAGTAAAGATGAGTATCAGGACTCAAATCACTGGATTTACATAATTCACATTGGTTTCAAAAATAACACAGTTAGAATGGATTCAAAATTAGCTTACAATTTCCATAAATTAGCGCAAGCTTTGCAATAAATTCATATGCTATTACATTTAACTGAAATTGAAGGTCTTCTGCTAGTGTTTAAATAATTTACAAAGGTGATGATGTTGAAATTCATTTTTCGCGTATTGTTGATGAGTATAGTATATATCTGAAAAATGTCGCCGTAGACGAAATATAAGCAACTCAAATGACAAAACAATGAAAATATAAAAATAGCTACTAACTTAACAGCTAGATTGTAAAAAACGTGAAAATTTTCTAAACAACTTGAAGCCCATGTTTTCATTTGAAGGAAAACAGAATCGGAATCGATTATTAGCATTAAAGTCGGACTACAAAGCACGGAAGACATTTTAACTAACGCTCTTCTTTCAACATGGCCAGCTTTTAAAGAGATATGTTGTAATAAATAAAGGTTAAAAGCGGTATTGGGTGCTCCTCGGGTCTGAGTTTTAATTTTCTCCGTAGTCTCAACCAATGATTACTTTTTGAGACATAATAGTTGACAGCGAATTAGATTATTCCTATTATTTGCATTATTTGGTTTTAACTTACTTGAAATCTAAGTGGTGGAGCAAATTCTAATAGCCAGTAATGAACAAAATCAGCTAATATGTCCCAGACCTTGAGTTTGTGGCCGTACACGTAGAGATCTGGTCAAATATTTCGCTGTTAATGTTCATTCAAATTATGTCAGATTTATTTGATAGCTTTTCGTATTTGCCTATGATCATAATTGGCAATAAATGCATTCTTTTTTATATGTCTTTTTCCTAACTAGCTTCGCTGTAGCTTAGCCACTCCATAGAGATTTCTGAGTCGGTCAAGGCTTTACTATTTTAGCAGTCCGCTACAATCTAAAGCAATTATTTCGACACTATAAAATTACCACAAATTTTTTTGAAGAAATTTAACTTTATGCTGATGTATTAGATTCAGTTATAGTTTGTCCTTTTTAGGCAAGATTATGTACACAATTAAGAAGTAATTGATCTGTTCCGGTAAGCAACAATAGAGATTCCTGGAAAAATCTTGATTATTAATTCTTTGAAACGGTGCGACAATGAATGCACAATTTAAGACAAGTATGATTTTTATTAAGTACCTAAAAGCAATTTCGTGGGATGTATTTTTCCTAAGTGTGTGGAAAAGTGACGGCGAGCACTAAATTTCGTTGACATGCATGCCAATTTCAATCAATTTCCGAAACAGTTTCGGATGACCACAAAATTCGAAATATTCCAACATTATGCAAAAATTCATTTTATTGAAGCGGGTTTTAAGATGATATTCAAAGATAATATATGCTTAATAATAATACTTTTGATGTATATAAATTGCTTTATCTGGGCTCTTCAATAAGCACGTCGATTAAATTGCTCATCCTGGCCTATATGATTAATGCATGAGGTTGGGTTTGTGTTACATTTGAACACTTTTTTAATTCGTGCTACCATTTTTGTTGCATATTATCAATATTATTTTCATGCTGTATATTTTCCTTTGGCTTTTCGTTTTTGTAATATAAGTTCATTAAAACTACAGTAGAAATTACACAACGTCTAATCAAAGAGGTAATCACAGAGGGCTTGGTCCACCCTGGTCTCCTCGGAGGCAGCAAAGCAATCGACCTCGACATAATTTCCCTCACCGCAATTTTCAGTCCAATCTAAATAACCACCACAACACCGATGCTCCTGCGCATTTCATGAATAGCTATCCTGGCAACGGACCCTCTAACTATAATAATAAGGTAAATTATGTCTATTTGATACTCATTTGGAAACTTGATTTGTAATCTACTCTATTTTTGAAGCAGTATAAAGGAAGCGATAGTTCAAACCACTCGTCTGTTCATAACCACAATACTTTGAGTTCTACAGCGTCCTGCATAATGTCTCCGGCACAACAATCTTTATTTAAACGAAATAGCGAGACATTTGGTGGAGTTGCCTCACCTAATTTGGTATCTATTCCAGAAGCCTCAAAGATAAGATACCTTGATGCTCTCTCAGTTCAAATTTGGCAGTTATTTATAGAAAAGCGTCAAACTCCTGCCACCTATGCCAAGAAATCACATTTTAAAAATGCTTTGCATATGATTATTTCCTCCGTATTCGAAAGTAAGCATATTTTCAATGTTTTACTGCATAACTTCCCTCGTTTTATATTTTTACTCCTTACAGATTCAAAAATTTACCTAGTAGGATCCTCATTAAATGGATTTGGTTCAGATAGCAGTGATGCAGATATGTGTCTTGTTGTTTCCTCTAAAGAATTGCAGGGAAAACGGGACGCTTCTGCTATTCTTCAGCATCTTATGACTCCTCTTCGCAAATGCAGTAGGTTTTACGTTTTTTCACTTTTTATTTGTTCTTAAAGATATCATTTTAGTCAAATGCAAACAGGAGAACTTCTTTTGGTTGTATGTTCGAGCTTTTAGCTGGTTGCTACTTGGAATGTCACAGCTTTTAAATGCTCTTTCTGACTTTTTTGATGATTTTGTTATTTGCTGTACTTATCGGTAACTGTTAAGCCAGTTTTGATTAATTATCATTCTTAATTTTGCTTTCACTTATGAGTTTGAACTTTTCTGTGGATACCTCTTTGCTCTGTTGGGCTGTGGTGGATCTGGTCTTGGGTAGGTTTTTTAAAACGGTCGTCAAAATCTTTGAATTCTCTCCTTACCAAGTTGCAATGGATTAAAACTTTTCTTCCAATCGACTCTTGATCAAGTGTTGTTTTTATAGTATTATTACTGGCTGTATGGAAACTTTGTTACTATAATCTTTTTTTTTCGCAGTAATCACGAATATGTTTTTATCATTCCACAGTGAATACATCCTATTATTAGCTAAGTTGAGAATTCACATTTCCGATAAACAATTTTCTAGTTTATCTGTTTTGTAAAAACAATGGTTTTTGTTGTGTTCCTTTTCCGTATTGAAAATTTTTCCATTATTTTTGCAGGTTTTATCAAACAATGCAACCTCATTCAAGCCAAGGTACCAATTCTCAAGTTTTGCGATAATCTCTCCGGCATTGAATGTGATCTGAATGTAAATAATGTTATCGGAGTCTACAATACGCATCTACTTGCTATGTATTCTCGAGGTACGATCAAACTCCTTTAAAACGGTTGGTATTAATTTCTTCCATTTATAGTTGATTGGAGGCTACGGCCTTTAGGCCTATTTGTAAAGCACTGGGCGCAGAAGATGGATATTCATGATGGGAGTCGTGGACGCCTTTCTACTTATCCTCTTATGTTAATGCTCATCCAATTCCTTCAATGTGGTTCTAATCCCCCTGTTTTGCCCAATCTCCACGAACGATTTCCGGTTAGTTTCTATTGATTATGTATACGTTTTTTGTTCATTTTATTAAATACACTTTTCTCTCCTCTTTATAGAAAATCTTCAACTATGACCGACCCTTGAAAGAGGTTGATATGCGTTTGCAGCTTCCATGGGCTGAATTGGCCAGTGCAAACACTTCTACGCTGAGTGAACTCTTTGTTGGATTTATTAGTTACTACAATCATTTTGATTTTGGAAATTGGGCCATCTCAGTGAGGTACGGTCATCCTATCCCAATTGATGTGGCTATTAGAAACCTTCCTCCTCACGAAAGGGCCAATACTTCGGCGTCTTATAAGATTTTTGTTGAAGGTAAATTTTCACCCACCCCCTCCCTCCCCCCCCCCAGATCTTTATAAACTTGCAAAAAGCCAGCCAATTTACATTTTGACTTTGTTAGAACCTTTTTGCCAATCAAATGCTGCACGTTCACTGTATGATGAAACAATGCTTGCTCAGATTCAACGTGTCTTCGCGCGAACATTCAGAGTTCTTCAATGCCAAAAAGCTCCGTTGCATTCCTTGTGGACCTGAATTCAACAAACCGCGCAGTCCACCTCTTCTATTGAACCACCTATGTTTATAATGGTCCTGTTATGTTGTACTGTTGCTGGGGCATGTAAGCCAGTTGGGAATATTTATACTGAGACATGTATTGCTGCAGTATTTACGCGTATATATGGAGGACGTTTTTATTTTTTTGAAGATTGCTTCCACTTGCAACTTCTTTTTTCTTCTGGCATAGCTGGTGTTTGGCAGGCCGATATAATAGTCTTAAATTTTTAGAAGTGAAAACGAAATCCAATTTAAGATGGAGTGGAATCAGGCAACGATGTTCTTTTGCTTTAGAAATACTGATGCTCATTTAAATTGATGGTTTCTCAACTGGTTGTTTGAACTGAATAAGAAGACGGAGAATGCCTTAATTCTAAAAATATTAAGTAACAATAACGTGTGCAATGGTCATTTTTCCGCGATGTACGCTCAAAAATTTATTGTAGATATCCCATAAAATATAGAGAGGTCGAGGTATAATGAGGTATTTTTGATATTAAAAATCACAGTAACCAACAGAAACGAACTAGGAATAATCCTCGTGCTGACCTGACTCGTTTTTTTCTCTTTCACATTTGCACGAAAGTTGCAATGACTGCTGAGTTTTTGCTTATGAAAAAGATTGCATTGAGAAATGCTTACAATGAAAGATAATTTGGAAGCAGTAATGAAAAGGTGGGCCGGAAAAGAATTTGGCTGTAGTAAATAAGTTCAGCTGAGATAATTTTGTTGGAGTTGGACTAATGACTTATTTCGGGAGTATGTTCACAATGTGGAAGGCAAGCTGAAAGGCCTTTCAAAGCCGAGTAGATAATGATAGTGAGAAAATTAGGAGATCAAGCAAGTCAATTATTCCGAAGTAAATATCCTGCAACGAAAGAGTTATCTGACTTATCTAAAAAACTTGAATGCCGAGATTGGTTCGTCTATAACTGCTAGCGTAGTGACGTATTGGTAGGAATTGATTGGATACCAACACAGGTGAAAGTGAAGAGTTGAAGATGTATATGGGAGGGGGGTATATAGTAATCGTTTTTTGTTTCGGTACATAGGTCAAATAGTAATTTTTATATCTACATTAGAGGGCTGTGCGTTAGACTTACCTCCACGTGGTGCACCCTGGGCAACGTATACTCATACGGCAAAAAGGTCTATTAACTGGCAGTTGACTTCTGACTTCAAACTACCATCACCTCACTACCACAGTACTCACACCATCTTTTTTCTACCTTCGTGTCTGTCTCTTTTACGTCTCTGAAAGACTGTTCTGTTCCCCCAACCAACTCGACTTTTTTCATTTTGGTATTCCATCCCCTCTGTGAAGCCTGAAGTCAACTAAAGGGCTAATGATAACTGTCAAAACGCCTGCCATTTGATATAAATAAATAAATATCTACATTAGACTACATGACTTTTAAATGTATGGGTATGGTATGTGTTATATTTGTGTCAACTTTAATTTGCAGTTCATTATTTGCAGAATTGGATAAGTGGTAGTCTTAATCCTAAGGTCATTTACAATGGGGAAATTGAATAGGTGAATTTTGGTTAATGTGCACTGCAGAGATAGGAGTGAATGGCCTTTGAGGGTGTGGGGGGTGGGGGGGGGGGTGGGGAGAGGAAGGTCAATGGCATGAAATAAGTCCATTATTAACTAAGGGGAATGCAACCCTCCAATGCAGTTGCTTCACTATTACTGCAACCGATTTAGGAGTGATAAAATATAGTAAAATCGATGGGATTTTGGAGTGAGAATAAGCATATATTGTGGAAGTATTGATCTGAGCGTAGTGAAATAATCAAGCTGTAGCTGCTCAACTACCACTTCTGTGTGTCAGAGTGGGGATGTTGGTTGGAATTTGGAATGCACTGATGGTGTGTGTGGGGGAAGGAGGGAGTAGTGGGAAGGACTTATTACCTCATTGGACACGTAGCCGATGAATTGGTCTC